CCTCCCCCCGGCTCCCGGGCCCCTCCCCCGGCTCACCGAGCTCCTCCTCCTCGGCTCCCGGGCCCCTCCCCCGGCTCTCGGGCCCCTCCCCCCGGCTCCCGGGCTCCTCCCCCGGCTCACCGAGCTCCTCCCCCTCGGCTCCCGGGCTCCTCCCCCCGGCTCCCGGGCCGCAGCTGCCCCCCTCGGTTTAAATTCTGCTGACCACATAGCCCCTGCGGGTCCTTCCTGGGGCGTCTTTCTTAAAAACACACCTCGAGGCGAGCTCTGGTGGCCCAGTGGCAAGAAGCTGCAACTGCAATCTCAGAGATGCCCGGTTCAAATCCACCAGATGCTGGAGAAGGAGGAACAATCTCCTCCTGTACCAGTCAGATCTGATTTGACGGTACACACAAAAAATAATGAAATAAAATTAAAAAAAGATATAATTTATATCAAAACTGGATACTCGAAACAAGGTTCATAAAAATAGAAAAGTGACCACGAAAGAGCAAAAATTACTATTGTGTCATGATTGCTATGCAGGGTTACTCTAAGGCGGGAAATTTCCTGTGACATTAAGGGAGAAGCTACACAAAACTGAGGTCCATTTCTCTGAGTTGTGAGTGGCCCCCTTGAGCGGCGGCTGGCTCCCCGCTCCGGCCAGGCGGTCAGCGCCCCCCCGAGGCCGGCCCCCAACGCTCGGACACGGGCCGTGCAAATGGCGGCGGGGCCCTCCTGTGCGAGGCCAGGCGCTAACTAGGCTCGCTCCCCACAGGGCTAGTGTGCTACGCCGCAGACTACAAGTCCCAGGAGCTTCGGCGGCGCGGACTACGAGTCCCAGAAGCCTCAGCTGTGCGGACTACGAGTCCCAGGAGCCTCGGCGGCGCGGACTTCCGGTGCTCATTAGGAGTAGGCTCCTGGAGCCCCGCCCCGCCCAGGCAGCTGCCGCAGCACAGAGGCCCTGTATTCCTGCCCCTTGGTCCGAGCTCCCACACGCCTTCCCTTTGCGCCCGGCAAACGGCAGTGGACGGCGGGCTCCGTCTGCTTTAACAGGCCCAGGAGGTGTGGCAGCCTGGGAAAGAAGTGGACCCGGCTGGGTCATATCCTGCAGGCAGAGCCCCTGGGGTCCCTTCTGCACCCCCCCCCCCCGCCTGTCATAAATCACCCACGCTTCCCGGCCCACACTGACCTCTCTTTCATCGCCATCTGGGTGATATTTCTGGTGATTCAAAAGGTTAACCTCTGAGCCATCAAAACCAAAGCTTCCACCCACCCCCTTTCTTGTCCCCCAGCCTCCTGAATGGTTGGCACCTGTTTGAATTGTTTGGTCCCTCCCAACTCATTTCTGTTTGCTTCAGTCTACAGCATTCAATTTCCCCCTGTTGCTTAGGATTTCGGGCTGTATTTGCCTCCATTAATGATCTAAGAGCTAAATTTGGGTCTTTTCTTGGAATTGGAGCTCTTGATGTTTGTAATGTCCCCTAGAGGCCATTGACGAAGGAAGCGAGAGCCAGGGAGCCAACAGTCTCCAAGCCCAGCAGCACTGGTCTGCAGCGACCAGCAGCACAGGCAGCTGAGAAGAAAACCACAACAAAAAGCCAACCATAAAACTCTTCATAGTGCTTGTTTGCTTTTTACATATTTAAGCTTT